GTTCAGCATACATGGAAAGAGAAGAAGGACGTAGGGCACGGGGTAGACCAAGAACAATATGGAAGGATAACATCAGAGAAACTCTACAACAGCACGATGTGCCTATGGTCGAGGCAGCCAGAAGAGCTAGAAACAGAACCTTTTATCTCCCTCGACACCCACAGCGGTAAAAGAGGAAGTGAAGAAGAAGAAGATGGTTCAGTGTTGAGAGGAAAGCGAAGTGCCTGGGGGTTCGTAGCGAAAGCCAACGGAAAATCTTTAGTGCAAGACAGCCTGCAATACGACACCACAACATCTAGCATGAGAATGGAGGTCCGTAAATGCAACTCTTCAGTGGTTAGAGAACAAGATGGATACACATGTCGTAATTTTAATAGATTCTTAAAGTATTCTGAGAAAGGTGAAGAAGACAGGGATCCTTCTAGCAGAGTGGCAAGCTTCACTGGAAAGGTCATGGTTAGTGAGCATACTTTGCATTTTTTCTCCAGGCCGTTCCGGCGTGGTGGGTAATGAACAGGCAGGCAGACTGGCTGGATTTGCACCACTGGGTGGTGAATATATACACGACAAGGCAGATGTGGTCAAGGTCTTTTAGGAACAAGCAACGGAATCAGTAGACATAAAAGATTTTTATGGTCTGGATAGAAGGAGGCACCTGGGTGTAACCAGAGGGTCTGGCCGGCTCACTACGCTCAGAGGAAAGGCAAGACGGACGTATAACCAGATTATGACCGGTACCATCAGTATTGGAACTCTGTGCTGGCTAAATTAATTACAGTCCAAACAGGCAAACTAGATTGGGTTGACACCATTCAGAGGTCCAGCTTCAAGATTCTATCTTAGCTGTATACACACCAGGGTACGCTGGGGTGTAAGGAAATGAAAGAGTGGACAGACTGGCAGAATCTGCAGTGGTTAGGGGAGGAAGAAGTATGGAAAAGGCAAACAAAATGAATTCACTGCGTTCCCCTGACGCTGAGACAAAGGCGTCAAAGACGACGAAACTCCTGTTGGAAATGTGTATTGAACGAGGACAAGCATGTAGAAACCGGCTACGGATGACACCGTTGTGTTGGGATGCCGAATTCGGACAAGTACTAAACTTAGTCGATCTTCTTCTAACTTGAGGTGTAGAGGTTTTCCAGCGAGATCGCTAGACTTCTCTATCAAAAGTTTTCTTTTTGGCTTTGTTCCATTCCAGTCTTCTGGACTGACGTCAGAGATTTTGTTTTTCCAGCGAACCCTGGATCGGCATGGTCATCTGGTTCCCTGATTCTTGGTCTCCCATACCTGCCGTGGTGAAACATTCTCTCCCATTCTGCATGCATTTCCAAAACATCGTAACTGATTAACTCACGTTTGTAAGGCCTGGGTTTCAGGGTCAAGACGTATTGTCTGACTGCGAACTTTGTTCCCTCTTGTCACTTGGAACAACTTTCTCGGATATTTCTGATGCCTGAAGCTGGCTTCTGTGAGCTGTTGTCATTTTCCATGAATCACACCCGTAGGTCACAACTTGCACATGGTAGAATGATAAACAGCCGTTTTCGTCATATTTCCAATTTCTTTTTTTTGCTGAGAAGTGCTCGGTTTATGACCTGGGAAAGGTCTCACAGCCGCTGCTTTTCGAGTACAGGCAATACTTAACACGTATTTTCTTCTTCTTTTCCACTATTTACCTCAGTGAGGTGTTTCGGGGGGGGGGGGGAGATGTAAGGATCGTTTATGGGCTGTTTTTTCAAGGCATTGTACACGTTGGTGTTCATTTCTGTTAGGTTGCTCCTGATGGTGTCGCTCCATCTGTTGCGTGGTCTTCCCCTTGCCCTGTGTTTATTATAATTCTTCAGCATGGCTCTCTGTGGCAGCTGGTACTAGGACATTCTCACCAGGTGGCCAAACCATTTCATTTGTTGTTCTCCAATGAATTGTATGACTGGTTTCAGTCCTAGTCTTTTTCTAACAAATGTAAATTACAGTAAACCCTAGCAGCCACATCTGCCTTTGAAAATCTCACATTCTTCCTGAGCACCGTGCTGGTGTTTGTTAGCACCAGTGTAAATAACGAAATCCTGATACACTTCACACAGAGTAACTTATCTTGCGCGAGTTTAGCTACTAAACGAAATGCTTCTTACCGTCTTATCGCAATTTTTCGTTATTTTGAAGCCACACCCCGGCTTTTGCTGGAGACCGCAATATAGCCTAACGGTTGAACGCGGTTTCTGGGAACTCTCCACTGTTAATCCTCATCCGCATGGTGGCACTTTGTGTCACTGGGTGTTTATAACTCTTTGGGATGTCCTTATGGGGTACAATTTATTTACTTACTTACTAAACGAAATGGGATGTCTTCGCTTAGCGATTTCATTTTAGTAACATATACATTGACAAAATTGAAGCCGCTGCATACAATACACAGGGAGCAAATACCGAATAAAGTGTTTGTTGTCTTCAATATGGTTTTCTTGGCGCTAAATTCTAATTTATTTGAACTAAACTGTTTACGTCTGTCAGAAATTAATGCTTCAGTGGTTCCAGTAATAACACAAACTACCGCAACAATGCAAACGGGCACAATTTCGGTCATGTAATTAACTACACGTTGTACTAATTCGAAAACGCTACTTCTTGCATCATTCTCATACATGTAAGTGAACATAAACCTGCCTAAAAACTCATCTTAAAATATAATTGATTGACATTGTAATTTAAACTCATAGAAAATAAAGAAAGTTCAGACTATAAAGAAGAGTAATTATAAGTTTATAACCATTGTGTGTCAAGGAGTTTGAATAAAATAAAAATTCCGTGGGTAAATTATGGCTGTTATGCGTTCTCCAGGTATTGGTATTTAGCCCCTGTGGATGAAGTATACCCATGATTTGGTTACTGTCACTATTGCCTCATTTGGGCATTAGCTATGACCTGGGCCCGAAAGAGTTAACCCTGGGAACTTATTACAAAACCCCAACAGACCCGATTTGAGACTGCTAGACTGTACACTACATTTCCCGCCTCACCGTAAAGCAGACAAGCAACAACAGAAGTGGCGGACTTATGGGTTATTTTGAAAAGGGTAATAATTATTTTATGATTCAGAGTGTATCTAGCGACTTGTATTGTCACCGAGTGCATAGTGATTGTAACTTTAGTTGCAGAATTTTACCCCACCCCCCCCTTTCCATGCACATTTTCACTTAGTTATATTCAGTTTAACATAGTTCGGATTGGGATTCGGCCGGCTCAAGAGAAAGACTCGGGATCGCCGCGGCAAATTAAAGTAAAATAACATGAATTTGAAGAACGAACCGATTACACTAAACACACAGCAGATAACTTTTCGACAGATGCTTCGAAGTACGGTCGTAGGTTGTAAGTTTCTAGAATGGCACATATTTTACTAATTATCACAGTATACGGACAGGTAACCTGCTAAGTTTTTTGCTGCCTCCTTTAGTTTATGACTTTGGTTAATTTGCGACATCTCACATTAGGTATATTCATTTGTAAATAAATGAATGCTCAAAACCTGACACTTGAATATCAGCGACCAGTGGTGATCCAGATCACCTTTGATTTTATATATACTGTGTCAACTGTATTCAAAAACTTAAGCACTGACTGTCCCATTCATACATACATGAGAAAGCCTGTGGGTTCTAATAGTAATACTACTAATACAAGGGGTTTCTTTATTCTAGTTATTCAGTTTCTGGGTTTTCAGATGTGTATAAGTATTGTGTCTACTCCTGTGAACAAAATGCTATGTACCATGTTGTGTGGAAGGAGGAACAGCAGGAAGAGAGTGAGAATAGAGGAAAAAATGATCGCAGAAAGGATGAGAGCTGAGCGTCTGAGAAGAAACAGACTAAACACAAATGTTGACAACAGTGGCCCTAAAATTCCAAGCTCTAATTGTGGAAGACTTTCTTAATGCAGGCAGATATTACAAAGTCTAGTTTTAGAATGGAGGTAGAGGCAGTCTCTGCTTCCTTCCTCTGGCTTGAGAATCAGCTGTACATTCATGCCATGATTATAACTAACTCACAGAGCATGTTGAGAAAGGTGAAAACGGGCATGCTCTGTGCAGAGTGGCAAGCATCACTTCAGAGGTCCTGGGTAGTTAGCATCCTTTGGATATTTTCTCAAGGGCATGCCGGTGTGTTGGGAAAGGAGTAGGCAGACAGACTGGCTGGCTTTGCACCACTTGGTGGTGAATTAATGTATGACAAATAAGATATTGTGAGGGCCCTTTGGGAGCTAATTAACAGTGCGGAGGCGCAGATAGATCATTACGGTCTAAGGATTATGGCGCTGAGAGGAGTTACCAGAGGATTTGGCCAACGCTCAACACTTAGGGGAAGGATGAGATGGATATACAATCAGGCGGTTACTGGTACCATCAGAATTGGAGCTCTTTGCTTACTGCTGAAGATGGGGACTGAGCACTTATGGGAGTGTCTAGAGTGCTGTGATGTCGATTCTTAATTTGACATTCAACTTTCAATGCAGGCTGGTCTTGCTAGTCACATTCGCTATCGCTATGAATCTACCAAAGCTTTACATTAGGGATTCTGTTGTTAGAATCTACCAAAGCTTTACATTAGGGATTCTGTTGTTAGAATCTACCAAAGCTTTACATTAGGGATTCTGTTGTTAGAATCTACCAAAGCTTTACATTAGGGATTCTGTTGTTAGAATCTACCAAAGCTTTACATTAGGGATTCTGTTACTCCTTTGTTCACTTCTTTTCTGCACGTATATCATAAATAAGGAAAGGATTGTAACAGATAAGTAATTTGCACTGCAATTTTACTTTAGCAGTTGCATTGCAGTTTTGTGGCTATTTCTTGTTATGATCCTTAAGTTTGCAGATGTTAAACTTAAATTTTGCATGTTTACCTTATTACAGGTATCTTGTCTTAGAGATTGTTTCAACTTGATACCAGGTGTGTTGAAACATTTTACGTGTTTCTGGGGGTGAGAGACCATATCAAGAAATGGTTCTTCAGAATACAGGAAAATTTCATGCAACGAAAGATGGTGATGCTGGAGAATCCTCAGGGTAAGTCTTTTACTTATGTTTGATGTCAGTTTTAATATTATTTAATTAACAGATCATCTTTATTGCATATTGAATGAGTCTCAGTCTGTACATCAGGCCTGTTCAACTGGCGGCCCGTGGGCCAAATCTGTCCTGCTGAGGTCTAGCAATTGGCCCACGGATGGTTGTCAGTTGGATTGTTTTAATGATCTCTCTATGCTAGACCTTAGGCCTCTGGCCCGTGACGATCTCAATTTTCAAAATTGTGGCCCTTGAGTAAACTTAGTTAAATAGCCCTGCATTAAGTGTTCAGATCCCCTCTTCAGTAAATTGCTTACTTTGTAGCGGATGATGACACTAGTTAAATGTTGGTTTATTGTTCTATTTTGGCTTGGATTTGTTCTTGTCTGGATTTGCTGTTCTTGCAACCTGACCCTGGTTGCAGATTCACAGTCATCGTGTGGCATTCAGTACATGTCTAACCTCCAAGTCTATGAGATCATTAATTTTTTTTCACACCTACATGTCCTGGCAGAAAAATGAAACTGATCTTTGTCTGCTATGACCACCTCAGAGACTCCAACTATCTTCGGGTCCAGCCCATCTCTTGTCTTCGTAGGATTACTTGAGTCACTGACTCGCTGAGGAAACATGCGTGAGTCAAGGTCTGCATCTTCAGCCAGGTTTTTGCTTAAGTTACTGCTATGACGTGACCTTCATAGTCAGACTACTTGTAGTCAAGGCAGTTCTAAAATATAAAAATGTCATCACCATCTTCCACATCTGTAATCAAGCTTAGTACCAAGGATAAGTTGGTGGTCCAGCTATTGATGGGTAGCACTGGCTACTTTCATTCACATATAGTGCATGTTGGAAACTGGTGTTTCTGTATTTTAACAAGATGTCTGAAGAATTTGCCCTTTACTTCATCAGTGTATTCTGTTTTTTTACTATATCTGATATTATCTTCTTCTTCATTAACCCTCAAATAAACTGACATGTTGTGTCTTCAGGTAGAATTTATACGTTGATATACCCTAGACCAGTGATTCCCAAACTGTGCACCCCGGGGAGCTGGGCCTCTTCACAGGGGTGCCGCGAAATATTGTAAAAGCTTCATAATTAATTTAACCAAGACACAAATAGTCATACTTTTACTTAGGTTAGGGCGGCGTGGAGCAATTTTGATTGAAAAAAGGTGCCGCCACCAAGAAAAGTTTGGGAAACACTGCCCTAGACTGTTTTCTTGATTAATTATGACTGTTCCTACCGCTGGGACTTACGCATTCAGTTACACACTTATTGTCCCACACTGCTGTAAGTCTCTGTAATATAGAAAGCGTTAATACTTGAAAACAAATGTGTAGCACAAGACATCATCCATTTTGAGACAGGTACTGGATAAAATAGATGAAAACATGCAGGGATGAAGACACACTGATTTGCAAGAGTTTGGGTTTATACTTTTAAAGATCTTTTGTCACTTCCATGTGAGATATTCTCGGCTTGGCTTGATTCATGTCAGATTTGTTAATTTTCAACTTTACACAGTACAGATTAAAAATCAGACACTGATTACTATGGCAGCTGTATTGCTCCATTATCTTGTTTTCTTAACAAAGGCCGTGAAGATTTGGGTTTACACTTACAAAGATGTTTCTTCACTTTCATAGGAAGTATCGCCGACTTGGAGTTATTTATGTAAGATTTGTTCATTTTAAACTACACTCCCCCTGTAGTTCTGGGGCCCCATTGTGATGAAAAATGAGTAGATTCATCGTCTCCCTAAGAAGCATGTCGTACGAGTCTACTAATTATGGGTTTCCTTCTAAGTAGTAGTGCGTCTGCATGAAAGGCGAGGAATCAACAGTCTGCTTAAAAATTTACAAATAAGCCAGATCTGTAAAGTGGATGTGCATAGCAAAATTCAAGTTCATATAGAATTTTTCACCAGTGTTTACAGCTGGTGTATGCATAGAAGAAGAATAAGAAACTTTACACAATTCAGACTGAGTGAGAATGAAACAGATTGCTTCGGCAACTCTGTTATTCTAATATGTATCCTTGGCTTTGCATTGATTCATGTCATATTTGTACTTGTTTAATGTTAGTACAAAGAATCAGACATTTTGACACCCCCTTCCCCCCCCCCCCCCCACCTCCTTTCCCAGAATAGACTGCCCCCAACACGCATGTAGTAAAAGTTGACTAATTTGAATGTTTCCTTTGAAGTTGGAATCTATCTGCTTGAGAGGCAAAGAACTGACAGTCTGCACAGAAACAAGCCAGATCTCAAGTTCCGGAACAAGACTAAAGTTCAGAAGTAAATAAAGAATCAGCAGAAGATTGCATTGGTAACTGTATTACTCTTTTTTTCTTTAACAGAAGTCGTGAAGATTCTGCAGAGAAGCGCTTGAAAAGAGCCATCCTTAATGACGAGATTGATGTACGATTTGGCTATGAGCGCCATAAAGATACGACAGAGAAAACAGGATGGCTAATTAACATTCATCCAGTATGTTTTATTTACTTCTTCATTCAATATTATCATCATCATCTTTTTCTTTTCCCTACTCCTGGAATGGGCCCTTCTGTTCACTTTATATAAAGTACTCTACAGTGTCTGATATTTCTGCAGTCCTTCTTCTGCATGGTCAACTTCTGGGTCTGTTACCTCTGTATCTGTATAACATTGCTCTCTGTGGTGCCCTGTCTAATACCAATCTTAGTACACGACCAAACCATTTGGTCTGTTGTCTACCTATAAATTTCAGTGTGGGTACTGTGCAGACTCTCCTGATATCGTTCCTAAGTCAGTTGTTCCTAAGTTAGTCTTTCCTCGTTATACCTAACATAGTATTTAAACATTTCATTTATGTCGTGACAATTTTCCTTCCGTCTTCTAAAGACAGTGTCAATGTTTGACATTGATTGCATAGCGTTGGTAAGAATATTCAGTATCATCATCATCATCATCATCATAGTCCCATAACACCACCTGTCATTTTGTTCCCTCCACCTCTGTCAGTCAGATGCAATGAACTTGATAATCCTTTCACGGAAATATTTCTTCTCGTGCTAATCGGTCGATAACTTTTTTAGTTCCATTGCCCAACTACTGAGTTGAGTGGGTGGTATGATACTGTCAGATTGTGTTGTCACTTCTTTAATGTTTGGTTATATTGTTGGCTTTTTCAAGAGTACAGTATGTCAGTTATTCTACAAAGGACAGTAACAGGCATTCTGTACTGTTTTTGTTGGCAGAGGAGTGGGTCGACTATGGGGTGACCCGTTCGTTGTGATGTCGGAGCTGCCATTACCTGATATCCAGTTGTTTGCCTGATTACCTGAGATCCAGTTGTTTACCTGAATACCTGATATCCAGTTGTTTACCTGAATACCTGATATCCAGTAGTTTACCTGATTACATGATATCCAGATGTTTACCTGATTACCTGATATCCAGTTGTTTACCTGAATACCTGATATCCAGTAGTTTACCTGATTACCTGATATCCAGTAGTTTACCTGATTACATGATATCCAGTTGTTTACCCGATTACCTGTCGTATTATATCCATGTCTTTATAGACTAGTCGGTATTCAGTGGGTGATGTGGTTCATCATCCTACATGATGTGGGTACATCTCAAGACATTCTCATGTGCTCATTTAAGGCTGGGTCGACTTGTGGGCTAAGGTCATTTGTTTAAAAATCTGCCTTATGCGGACCTAAGTGTGTGTGTGTGTGTGTGTTTGTTGTGGGGAAAAAGGGGGTGAGAACTCAGTCCTTTTTTTCATATTTTCTAGAGTAAGGGCGAGCTCAAGGGAATACGCCTTTTTAAAGGTGTCTAATAATAATGAAAATAACAACAACTATAGTTACAGTAATAGAAATTATAAAAATAATGTTTTGAGTGGTTACTAAACATTATTATATATCTAAAAAGAAAAATACTTAAAAATTATTCTATACATAGTGAGATGCCTTTACAAAATTTTGAAGGTGAAAGTCAAGAAGATCGACTTCATTACACCGGGTTTAATTCCTTCCTGATTCGAACCTAAGACCTTTGTGCCGGAGGGAAAGGTTTGTAGTTTATTAGTGATTGATTTGAGTTTTCCCAGCTAAGTGTGAAATAATACCATTAGAATGTGGGAACAACATGTTACACCAGATCACTGAGAAGTGTTGCAGTGCGGCCATAACAACTACAGTACAGGTAAGTAAGGTAAAGGACCCTTTTCTACACCTCCAGATGTATTAGCCCTGTAGTGCTAGACCTGTATTGTTTAAAGATTTGTATAAACTTCCATAGACCAATTGGCACTCTGTGGGTGATGGGGTCGACATCACGCCGACCGTCTTTACTTCCATAGACTTTTCCTGGTACCCATTTAAGATCGTGTCGACCTGATGAAAATAAAGTCTGGCTTCATTCAAATTTGAACCCATGACCTTCGGATCCGCAGGTGAGTGTCTAGTCTCTACATCGTGAAGCTCTCACCTGCAGGTGCTACAGTAAAAAAAAAAAAAAAATTTATTTGAAAGAAAGATGGTGCCGAAGAAGAAGTTGAATTGATGACATCAAAGACATTCTACATCCACATAGGATGACAGTGGCCAGTATAACCGACTGAATGCTGGGCTACTAATTTTATCTTTCCGTGTTGGTTAATGACAGAAGTGGAAAATATGCTGATATGTTAGTCACTAAACATGACTCTGACCCATTTTTGTTACTGCTTATTTCTATTTATACAGTGCGGACCTGATAAGGAGAACACTGGGGACACAAGAAATGGTTCTTCTGATCAGAAATTACTTTTATTCAGATAAAAATTAAAGCAGGAAAAGTTGCTGGAAATTAACAGATTTGTCTTCACAACAGAAATTCACCGAATTTGAGATCGCCTTAAGCCGGCTGCACTGTAATAGCCAGGATTTATTATTACTGAATATTATTTTACTTTTCTCCATTTGAAATTTACAGACTGACATTCTAGATGCAGACAAGAGACTAGTCAGTGCTGTAGACTTCTACTTCCTTCAGGAAGACGGGGGTCGATTTAAGGTAGGGTTAATTTATGTGAAGGATCACTTTGTGTTCTGAGTTTCATTGGCTTATTATTAACACTATTGTTATTGTTGCCTTTGATTAACTTATGCAAGAATTCACAGAAATATAATTTTTTATCTTTGCATTCACCGGCTGTACACTCTGGAGGACACTTCTTGACTTTGGTCTTGTTCCAAGATTTTAATTTTGCATGCGCATTCAATTTACAGATCTGGCCATTTTTTATGCTCAGACTGTTAGCATTTCGCCCTCCGACAGATGCTGTCACTTTAAAGAAAATGTCTCTTCTATCTACATTGGCCTGCCCCTAGGTTGGGAAGCTGTTCCTAAATGACTGCAGAGAGTTGTAGATAGGTCTGTATGACCTTGGTTTTATTACACCACTTTATGTAGTTCAACTGCCTCTACATCCCACAAGAATATGTTAACGTTTATGTGTCGCAGGCAGTCTTTCTCTTACCAACAATCACAAAGGATTATTGTCAGAGGTTTTTTCAGATTAAAAAATGAATTTTTCATTGTCCTATTTTGTTTGTTATCTCTTCAACTTGTTTTCCATTTGATGCTAGCCATGGGGTAGGTGAAGTAAAAGACCCTTTTCCACACCGTTAGGTGTATAGGGCATATAGGGCTAGACCTATATCTTATAGACCAACCGGCACAAGATGGGTGATGCTGTCAGCATCATGTCGGCCGCCTATACTTCCAAAGACTGAGCCCGGTACCTTCTCAAGGCTGGGAGCCAAGGTCATTTTTGAAAAAAGTCCGGCTCCGCCAGGGAACAAACCCACAACCTTTCAATCCGCGGCGAGTGTCAAGCACCTCCACCACGGCGACTCCCAGCCATCGGGTAGACGCCTAAATATATGTTTTAAATAAAACTTTTCATGTGCCAATCCATTACAGGATGTTGCATATCTTTTACAGGATGTTGCATATTCTTTACAGGATGTTGCATATCTTTTACAGGATGTTGCATATTCTCTACTGGATGTTGCATGTCCTTTACAGGATGTTGTATGTCCTTTACAAGATGTTGCACATTCTTCACAGGATGTTTCATGTCCTTTACAGGATGTTGCTTGTCCTTTACAGGATCTTGCATGCCCTTTACAGGATGTTGCATGCCCTTTACAGGATGTTGCATATCCTTTACAGGATGTTGCATGTCTTTTACAGGATGTTGCATATTATTTGAAGCAGTGGTTCTCAGCCTTCCTAATGCAGCAACCCTTTAATACAGTTCCTCATGTTGTGGTGACCCTTGAATACAGTTCCTCATGTTGTGGTGACCCTTGAATTCAGTTCCTCATGTTGTGGTGACCCTTTAATACAGTTCCTCATGTTGTGGTGACCCTTGAATACAGTTCCTCATGTTGTGGTGACCCTTGAATACAGTTCCTCATGTTGTGGTGACCCTTTAATACAGTTCCTCATGTTGTGGTGACCCTTGAATACAGTTCCTTATGTTGTGGTGACCCTTTAATACAGTTCCTCATGTTGTGGTGACCCTTGAATATAGTTCCTCATGTTGTGGTGACCCTTTAATACAGTTCCTCATGTTGTGGTGACCCTTGAATACAGTTCCTCATGTTGTGGTGACCCTTTAATACAGTTCCTCATGTTGTGGTGACCCTTTAATGCAGTTCCTGATGTTGTGGTGAACCTTTAATGCAGTTCCTCATGTTGTGGTGACCCTTGAATTCAGTTCCTCATGTTGTGGTGACCCTTGAATACAGTTCCTCATGTTGTGGTGACCCTTGAATACAGTTCCTCATGTTGTGGTGACCCTTGAATACAGTTCCTCATGTTGTGGTGACCCTTGAATACAGTTCCTCATGTTGTGGTGACCCTTTAATACAGTTCCTCATGTTGTGGTGACCTTTTAATACAGTTCCTCATGTTGTGGTGACCCTTTAATACAGTTCCTCATGTTGTGGTGACCCTTGAATACAGTTCCTCATGTTGTGGTGACCCTTTAATACAGTTCCTCATGTTGTGGTGACCCTTTAATGCAATTCCTCATGTTGTGGTGAACCTTGAATACAGTTCCTCATGTTGTGGTGACCCTTTAATACAGTTCCTCATGTTGTGGTGACTCTTTAATGCAATTCCTCATGTTGTGGTGAACCTTTAATACAGTTTCTCATGTTGTGGTGACCCTTGAATACAGTTCCTCATGTTGTGGTGACCCTTTAATACAGTTCCTCATGTTGTGGTGAACCTTTAATACAGTTCCTCATGTTGTGGTGACCCTTTAATACAGTTCCTCATGTTGTGGTGACCCTTTAATACAGTTCCTCATGTTGTGGTGAACCTTTAATACAGTTCCTCATGTTGTGGTGACCCTTTAATACAGTTCCTCATGTTGTGGTGACCCTTGAATACAGTTCCTCATGTTGTGGTGACCTTTTAATACAGTTCCTCATGTTGTGGTGACCCTTTAATACAGTTCCTCATGTTGTGGTGACCCTTTAATACAGTTCCTCATGTTGTGGTGACCCTTGAATACAGTTCCTCATGTTGTGGTGACCCTTTAATACAGTTCCTCATGTTGTGGTGACCCTTTAATGCAGTTCCTCATGTTGTGGTGACCCTTGAATACAGTTCCTCATGTTGTGGTGACCCTTTAATGCAGTTCCTCATGTTGTGGTGAACCTTTAATACAGTTCCTCATGTTGTGGTGAACCTTTAATACAGTTCCTCATGTTGTGGTGATCCTTTAATGCAGTTCCTCATGTTGTGGTGAACCTTTAATACAGTTCCTCATGTTGTGGTGACCCTTTAATACAGTTCCTCATGTTGTGGTGAACCTTTAATACAGTTCCTCATGTTGTGGTGAACCTTTAATACAGTTCCTCATGTTGTGGTGAACCTTTAATACAGTTCCTCATGTTGTGGTGACCCTTTAATACAGTTCCTCATGTTGTGGTGACCCTTTAATTCAGTTCCTCATGTTGTGGTGAACCTTTAATACAGTTCCTCATGTTGTGGTGACCCTTTAATACAGTTCCTCATGTTGTGGTGACCCTTTAATACAGTTCCTCATGTTGTGGCAACCCTTGAATACAGTTCCTCATGTTGTGGCGACCCTTGAATACAGTTCCTCATGTTGTGGTGACCCTTTAATTCAGTTCCTCATGTTGTGGCAACCCTTTAATACAGTTCCTCATGTTGTGGTGACCCTTTAATACAGTTCCTCATGTTGTGGCAACCCTTTAATACAGTTCCTCATGTTGTGGCGACCCTTGAATACAGTTCCTCATGTTGTGGTGACCCTTTAATACAGTTCCTCATGTTGTGGTGACCCTTTAATACAGTTCCTCATGTTGTGGTGAACCTTTAATACAGTTCCTCATGTTGTGGTGACCCTTGAATACAGTTCCTCATGTTGTGGTGACCCTTTAATACAGTTCCTCATGTTTTGGTGAACCTTTAATACAGTTCCTCATGTTGTGGTGACCCTTGAATACAGTTCCTCATGTTGTGGCAACCCTTTAATACAGTTCCTCATGTTGTGGTGACCCTTTAATACAGTTCCTCATGTTGTGGTGACCCTTGAATACAGTTCCTCATGTTGTGGTGACCCTTAAATACAGTTCCTCATGTTGTGGTGACCCCCCAACAATAAAATCATTTTTGATGCTACTTCATATCTTCAGTGATTTTGTTTTTTCCTGTGTAAAACGGTCGTTCAACCCCCAAAGGAGTCGCGACCCACAAGTTGACAACTGTTGCTTTACAAGATGATGCATGTACTTTACAGCATGTCCAGGAACTCATTTGTTGGCTATTTGTGATTTTACTAATTTAACGTTTCTTTGTTTGCTATCACTTGTATCTTTAAAAAAAAAAAGTTTTAGCTCAGACGGATCAGTTTCTGTTCTTGCTCAGAATTGATATCACTGACTTTAAAGCATATTTCCACTGATTGGGTTTTGGGGGCTTCGATTTTTGTTGTTGGGGGGGGGGGGGGGGAAGGGTGGATAGACCCACTGGCCCCTAACAAACATGTAAAAGGTGACAATGGGTGTGCTGAAATATGATGTTTTGGGCTTTAAGATGCAGATACCATTGTATAGCAGTAAACCTTTTAAGCTCGGAGGCAAAGAAGAATGTGCAATTAATACATAAATGTCTCTTTGATATTACGATTACTTTTGTCTGCCTGTTGAAGCTGTCCCAGTTTTCTGTTTCTGCAGCGACATGTTATTCTTTCATTGCAGGCAACTCTTCCATTTAAGCCATACTTTTATGTGGCATCTAAACAAGACTGTGATAGGGAGGTAGCTTCATACCTGAGCCGCCGATTTTCTGGGAAGATTGCCAAAATTGAGACAGTTTACAAAGAAGATCTAGATTTGGTATGTGACACGATTGAGATAATGTACTCATCATTTGGTATGTAACACGATTGAGATAATGTACTCATCATTTGGTATGTAACACGATTGAAATAATGTACTCATCATTTGGTATGTAACACGATTGAGATAATGTACTCATCATTTGGTATATGTAACACGATTAAGATAATGTACTCATCATTTGGTATGTAACACGATTAAGATAATGTACACATAATTAGGATGTAACACGATTAAGATAATGTATTCATCATTTGGTATGTAACACGATTGAGATAATGTACACATAATTTGGTATGTACAAGAATTGAGACAGTAAAAGTCTTGACACATTAAAAAACTGTTTGAAAAAAATAAAAAAATAATTATGTATTATTCAGAAATGGCTTGAGATGTATTAAAGGTGGCATAGTGTTAAGCACAATCAATATTCAAATATGTTTTTTTGAGATGTATTTTGGGGGCCAGTATGTATTTAAAACATTTTTTTGGGGGTTTTTTTTTTTTAGTATTCAGAAGCCATGGGTTGTTAACCCTTAGGCTTGGTATTATGGATATCGCAACCGTTTAACCTTGATTCCATGATAAATACCGTAAATCTGGGAGAAATGTGGCTTTTCTGCCTACCACCAGGCGTGAACCCGGACCACAAGGAGTTCGTCACCCGGTCACAGCGCAATCCGATTTAGCCAACTACGCTAGCGAGCCGGGCTTGGGATGTATTACAAGGCACAGCATGACATCTTAATTTGGGATGTATTACAGGGACACAACATGACAACATCTTAATTTGGGATGTATTACAGGGACACAACATGAGAACATCTTAATTTGGGATGTATTACAGGGACACAACATGAGAACATCTTAATTTGGGATGTATTACAGGGACACAACATGACAACATCTTAATTTGGGATGTATTACAGGGACACAACATGACAACATCTTAATTTGGGATGTATTACAGGGACACAACATGACAACATCTTAATTTGGGATGTATTTATAGGTTTTACAACAGTATTTTGATTTGGGATGTATTTATGGGTGAAACATTTTTAGAAACTTTTTGACTTGGGAGGTATTATAGGTAATAAGATCTGACTGACAGGAATTCATAAATGACATCTCTTGACTAAGTTAAAATGGTTCTCACTCTTAAATTTGTAATGTCTATTTTCAATAATTTACAGCCCAACCATCTTGTAGGACTGAAGAGATCCTACATCAAACTGTCCTTCTTTAGCACAGAAGAGCTACTGAAGGTCCGCAGGGAGATATTTCCGGCAGTGAGGAAAAACAAGGAGAGGGAGAAGAATTCTAATGGTTACACCAGTATGCTGGCTAGGTAAAAGCAATTTCTCTGCTGCTATTTCACACTTATCTCCTCTAGCTATTCAGCTGGAGTTAGTGGATACTGTGATACCTAAAACCTGAGGTGGGTTAAAGATCTTCAACCCTTGGAAATAAAAGGCCCAGATCCCCCCCCCCCCCCTCCTTCCCCCCACCAAAAAATCCCTTAAAACTAATATTTTGATGCCACTAAAAATTAAATTATTATGTATTTATAAACAGTCATTCAAAAACGACCTTGGCTCCCAGGTCGACCCAGCCTTGAGTGGGTACCAGGGGCAGTCCCGGGAAAGTAAAAGCGGCCGGCGTGATGCTGACCACATCACCCATCTTGTGCCGGTTGGTCTATACAAATATAGGTCTAGCCCAATATGCCCTATACCCCTAAAGGCGTGGAAAAGAGTCCTTTACTACTTTTTTTTTTTTTACTTATAAACAGTTAAAAAAAAAATCTGAGTCAAAATATTCAAAGGAGTGTTATTTATGACATGTTAGCGGTGCTAAGAGTTAAACAAATACATTCCTTTTGTCAGTTTTGTTTGTCATTGCTCAGCTGCCGAAGGCTGAAAGGGGAGTTATGGTGTAATAATAACTAACAAACTAAACAGATTCTCTTGAATCAAGAGATGAAAGAAAAGTAGTATGGCATTGTATAGGACATACACTGAGAGCAATGTAACTGGAATGTCTTTACAATGGAACCCACAAGGACATAGATATAAAGGCAGACTGAAACAGAAAGCGAAGTAAAAAAAAGTTTGTTGAGAACCTATGTTCTGTTGGGTGATAAAGGGCAGAAGATTTGCTTAAAAAACTTTTTTTTTTTCACCCAACAGGCTAATCTAAGTAAATGCAGTCAACCAACCCCCCCCCCCCCCCCCCCCAACACTGCACAGGTGCAAACAGAACCAATGCTATTAACTAGGTTTAACAGGGATAAATAATCCACAATATCTACCATATGGGGATTTGATACAGATAACAAAGTCAGTTTCAGCTTCTCAGGGCAAAATGGTTACAAGCGAGGGAATTACTTGCTTTCCTCTGGCTTCATCTCGAATGACCTGCAGGATAATTTGCCAAAGGTTGCCCACTGACTTACTAACAGCGTGGTATGGGGGTGAATCTCCAGTAGTAGCTTGCTTTTTTTTTTAATTTGCAAAACTCAGGATTTGACCATGGAAGTAAAAATGTTGAGGTAGGGAGTGAAGAAATGACATCACTGCAGACGGGACATTGCCGCATGAGCTCCTTCCTCTTATTTAGTAGCCAAAAAAGAGTCAACATGTTAATAGTCTCAGCTAAAACCTGACTAAAAGTCTGCCTATGTTTCCAGTTTTCCCTTCAAAATATCTTCCATGACCTCTACTCCCCCCCCCCCCCCAATTAGTCTTTCACTGTATGAATTCTTTTTCTGTTTTTTTGCACTGTCTGATACCACAGCGCCTTCACCACAGCCACTTTATCATAAAGTAGCTCATCACCCAGAGGAGCAGCAGCAGCAAGTCTATCAGCCTGCTTGGTACCTGGCACACCCGAATATCCAGAAAGAAAATCCATGATATGCTCCTGTTTCTGAGTCTCATCTAGTGATGCAAACCACTCTGCGCACAGGACAGTGAGTTTGTTACAATAACATGTTGGGCTGTGCTGCTCTCAAGCCATTGGAAGGCTGCCGCTACCACCTCCACGTCTATACTCATACTAGATTTAGTGACGTCTGCAAGGATGTCTGTTTTCAAACAGCGTGCATTCACGTTTGCAATAAAACCCTTCCCACTCCTTACCTATCACTACAGACCCATTTATATGTTCACTAGCTATCCATTCCTGGCATCCTCGGTCCAGTGTAACTGCCACACTATGCAAGGTAGGGAGTTCATCACAACCTCATACTTCATCTTGCCTATAGCCTAATGTATACGATGGTCTAACGATACACAGTCCATAGCAAAACACCTTTATGTTATTAATTTGAGAATGGCAGTTTATATGTTTGTAATTTCAGTCATTTTGCTGGGGAAGATGCAGTTGGGGTCTCCAAGAAGATATCAGATCAGATGGAGAACATTGTGGACCTCAGGTTTGTTACACAAATCAAATTGTGTTTGGGTGATGGTGTGGATGTGTTACTGATTGTTTCTGGATTATGATGGGGTGTGTATCACAGATTGTTTCTGGGTAATGATGGGTATATATCACAGATTGTTTCTGGGGGATAGTGCAGATGGGTCCCAAATTTTGCCTAGTTGATGATGTAGATATGTCACAGGCTGTGTCTGAGTGGTGATGTGGATATGTCACAGACTTTTTCTGGCTGATGGTGTTTTTTTTTTTTTTTTTTTTCATCGAACACCGGCTGTGAATTCCAGTGGAAGGTCCCGGTTAATCGTCCGCTTGGACTTTTGGCCTTCACCTGGACCTGATTTTTGCGTGTACAACCATTTTTAATTTCCCTGCCTCTTGGGCAGCTGTACGCCGACTTCGAAGGAAGACGTCAGGCCTATTTCTAGGGTGACTGTGGCCATTGTTTTGTGTGGGTCGAGACTGCCTGATTTGTGTGGTGTCCGCCTTGTCTCCTTCGCCGCAGGTATTGCCCCCGGAGTACCCCTTTGGGGCAACCCCCTGTGGAACAGTTGGCCCTCAAGGGAAGGCAGGGGCAGATCATGGGCATTCCCCGCCATCCAAGGAGGCTTCCATGCATGCAGAGCCGGCACATGGCGCTCTGGTTCTGGGCTCACACAAGGAATCGTCACGTCCTGCACATGCCTGCTTAACCTCACAACCGTATCAGGCCTCCCGCTCGACAGGGGCTGCGCCCTCTGGAAGTCAGCGGGGAGCAGCCCGTTGGTTTTGGACTTTTGTGACCACACAGATAGGTACCTTAGCCCGGCAGAATTTCACATCCTGAATCAGGCATATCGTTATCAGTTTTGTCCCAACACTCGGGCGAGTGGGGTCTTTGGGTATGGACATTCGGCCTTTTGCATTTCAGTGCAAATTTTGGTGGTCAGATTTTGATCCGTTATGATCTAGTTTTGTCGGACATTTAGGCTTAGCCATCCGATGGATGGTTGCTGTTGTGGTGTACCCCAGCGCGGTGACGACGACACTGAGGGTTAACCGAGGATGTACGTGACTGGCCAGCCTATGGATGGTTGCTGTTGTGGTGCACCTCAGCTCGGTGACGACGACACTGAGGGCCAACCGAGGATGCACAAGGATGGCCAGCCCATGTATGGTTTCTGTTGTGTTGCATCTCAGCGCGGTGACGACGACACTGAGAATTAACCGAGGATGAGCATTGAGCAATGTTTCTCTTTACTCAGCAGTCTTTTAACCAAGGGTTGTGATTTTAGCTGTACTTTTGTCGAACCTACTCATGTTCCTAATGATTTTTGATAACATTTTTCACCCAAGCGTTTGGGGGCGGGCTGGTGAGAGCCACAAGGACACATCACCTCTGGGGGCCGCCAAACTCCGAGATCCCCTGACAGCTCTGTTAATGCTCATTTGAGACATTATCCGTGGCGCACGACGAGGACGTGCTGTAGGGGTCTTGCGTGAGGTTCCGTACAACCAGGATAGTAAAGGACTGGCGCCCGAGTGACATACGGAGTATCTCCTTATACACATCATGTTGGACTTAACTTCCCCTCACGCCTGTGACATAAATCACCGCGCCACGCTGATGGTGTTGATATGTCATATATTGTTTAGGTGATAGTGTAGATATGTCACTAATTATTTCTAGGTTATATTGGGGGTATATCATAGATTGTCTCTGGTTGAAGTGTAGATGGGTCACAGATTGTGCCAAGGGATAATGTAGATGTGTCACAGGTTGTGTCTGAATGATGGTGCGGATATGTCACAGACTAGGTGATTGTATAAATATGTCATAGATTGTGTCTGGCTGGTGGTGTAGATATGTCACAGATTGTTCGGTTGTGGTCTAAATAAATAAGTCATAGATTGTCTGGGTGATGGTGTGGATATGTCAGATTATGTGTGGCTGATGGTATGGATATGTCAGGTTATTTCTGGTTGATAGAGAGGGTATGTCAGATTGTTTCTAGTTGATAGTGTATATATATCAGATTGTTTCTGGTTGATAGTGTAGATATGTCAGATTGTTTCTGGTTGATAGTGTAGATATGTCAGATTGTTTTATGATTGATAGTGTAGATATGTCAGATTGTTTTATGATTGATAGTGTAGATATGTCAGATTGTTTCTGGTTAATGGTGTAGATATGTCAGATTGTTTTTGATTGATAGTATAAATATGTCAGATTGTTTTATGATTGATAGTGTGAATATGTCAGATTGTTTCTGGTTAATGGTGTAGATATGTCAGATTGTTTTTGGTTGATAGTGTAAATATATCAGATTGTTTCTGGTTGATAGTGTAAATATGTCATATTGTTTCTGGTTGATAGTGAAAATATATCAGATTGTTTCTGGTTGATAGTGTAGATATATCAGATTGTTTCTGGTTGATAGTGTAGATATGTCAGATTGTTTCTGGTTGATAGTGTAAATATGTCAGATTGTTTCTGGTTGATAGTGTAGATATGTCAGATTGTTTCTGGTTGATAGTATAGATATGTCAGATTGTTTCTGGTTGATAGTGTAAATATGTCAGATTGTTTTATGATTGATAGTGTAAATATGTCAGATTGTTTCTGACTGATAGTGTAGATATGTCAGATTGTTTCTGGTTGATAGTGTAGATATGTCAGATTGTTTCTGGTTGATAGTGTAGATATGTCAGATTGTTTCTGGTTGATAGTGTAGATAAGTCAGATTCTTTCCGGTTAATGGTGTGGATATGTCACGGATTGTGTATGGCTGATGGTGTGGATATGTCACAATATGTTTGGCTGATGGTGTGGATATGTCACATTATGTCTGGGTGATGGTGTGGATATGTCACAGATTGTGTTTGCCTGAAGGGTTAGATATGTCAGATTGTGTTTGTGTCACAGATTGTTCCTGGGTGATTGTATCACAGACGTATAAATCTCTGCACTGCTGTGTATAGTTTAATTCTGTCTGCTTTTTTTTTAAATTGATCTCATCCACCTAGGGAATATGACGTTCCCTACCACGTCCGTGTCTCCATTGATCTGAAGATTTTTGTGGGTCACTGGTATTCTGTGAAAGGCCGATCATCTCAGGAACTTGACATTCAGAGAAGAGAAGATCTGGTAGCCTGGCCAGTAAGTGTGTTTTAAAAAAAACAATCATCATCATCATGTTGTAATACTTATGATTCACAAACGGCTCGCAGTATATTCCTCCATTTAAGTCTATTCTGTGCTCTCTTTTTGATATTGTTGATGGAATCCATACTTCCTGTGTGAATTCAGAAGCCCCAGTGTGAGAGGAAAAAAAGGAATAGGCCCGTGGCCAACCCTAACGAGCATGTTGTAAAAATAGACTAATTAGGGATGCTTCCTTGGAAGTTGATGTGCATCTGCCTGAGAGGCAAGTAACCAACAGTCTGCATACAGATAAGTCAGAATCACTGCCTCCCTAACAACCATGTCATACAAATAAACTAATTGGGGATATTTCATTCAAAGTTGGAGTCCATCTGCCTGAGAGGCAAGGAGCCAACAGTCTCTATACGAGTCAGCCAGATCTGTAAATTGGATGTGCATGTAAGACTGAAGTTCTGAAACACACACAGCGTAACCAAAGAATGTTGGTTGTCCCCTGATGGGATAATCAGTTCCCTCCATGAGTTAATGTTTGTGTGTGTGGAGAAATTTTGCTACATTTTTTATCTCTCATGGTGCTCTAGCTTTTTTTTTGGGGAGACATCTTTACTGTATTTTGGGTAGGGGGGGGGGGGGGTCTGCCATTGTGCAATGTTTGTTGTTTGTTTCTGTTGTTTTGTTGAGACACCTTTACTAGGGTTTTGTTATTGTTCTTCCATAGTGCTCTTAATTTTTTTTTCAGAGACATCTTTAAAATTTTTTTGTGTGTGTCTACCATGGTGCTGTGATTTCTTTTGGAGATATCTTTATTGTTTTTTTGTTTTGTTGGTGTGTCCTGGTGCTCCTATTTTGTTGGGAGACATTTTTACTGTTTATTGTATGTCTGCCATGGAGCTTTAATTTTTTTGTATTTTTTAAAAACATCTTTTGGGGGAAAAGGGGGGGGGGGGCGCTGTCATCATTGTACTGTCAGCATTTTTCTATAAAATGACAGCTCAGCAGCTTCCATATAATGTTTCACCGATTGGCTGACTTCAGTGATTGACTTCCATACATCAGGATTGGTGTCTGGCTCTTAAAAACTCTCTTTCTCAAATACAGAGGTGCTCTATGTTCACCATTGATTTACCACACCAGCGACACCCTTTGGAACTCTTTCAGCTTTTTCTGTCTTGTTTTCTCCAGTGGAACATAGGCTGTTAACCAACTCAGGCCATCATGCTACCCTTTCTTATCTGTACATCTTTTTCACTTCATATTTTCAGTTCTCTTATTCATTTATTTTAAAAAATCTGGCTTTATTCCATTGACTTGGTTGGTTTCACTGCAAAGACATTCTAGATATACCATTACCTGATTTTCTTGAGTTTTCTTTCCAATGCCAGCATCTTTTCCTCAGCTTATGTTTCACTGCCTTTCAGCAAAAACCTGCAAATAACTTTTTTTTCTCTATGACCCTGTGAGTTCTATTGCAAAGATATTTTAGTTTTCTTACCTTTTTAAGCCTCTTTTTTTTTTGATGTAACTGCAAATAAGCTGGCTCTGTGGCTAAGTCGATGTGAACGGTTCATAATGCCGGGATGCCGGATTCGATCCCAGCTGCAGGCCATGCACTAACCGTCCAGAAAGCAATGGCAAACTACTGGATGTAAATTTGCCTAGAAAAACCACACAACAGCCAGGGGCTGTTGGGGTTGGTTCTGCAATGTCCTGTAAAGGATATGCAACTAACCTAACTGCAAATAACTTGTTTTTTTTCCCTCTCTAGGACCCAGTGGTGTTGGCTTTTGACATTGAAACAACAAAACTGCCACTGAAGTTCCCAGACTCGCAGACAGATCAGATTATTATGATCTCCTACATGATTGATGGGCAGGTAGGTGTGGCCAAGTATTCACATAATGT